TTGAAATTTTTACATTTGTTTCCATTCTGATGAAATTTTTGAGAGCTTGAGCCACTCTAGAATAGCCAGTAGCCTGTGCTTAAAGCTGTCATTTGGGAAGTGGAGGACTCAATTTCAGGTCCCTGCTCCAAATGCATGGAAGAGGCTGTAATGTACATGTACAGACTTACACATTTTAAAATGTTCATGAAATTTTAAAATAATGAACCAACTTTAATCAAACTTGGATTCTTCCTCCATCCTATGAGGAATATGAAATCAAATTTGACATCGACATCATCCCTCATTGTCTTAAGCAAAAGGTCACCTAGAAGATGTGGAAAAAAGTCTCCTGTGTATTTTTCCCACCATCTCTGGCTTCTGTAACTCAAATTATTTAAAATGTTTTGCTGGAACTGGATAAATATTTCACTTTTTGGCTGAGATCAGACACTGGAAACTTTCAGCCCAAATTAATTCTTTCAAAATTGTTTTTAGTCCAAAGTATCTATGTTCCCCAGTCTTAAGCTACCATATCCCCCTGATTATACAAAAGTTTTGTCCCTCCCCCCCCGCACCAAGATGCTTGATTTTACAAAAGTTTTGTTGTAATAGCCTAAGAAAAACTTTGAACCCCAGCACAATAGAGATGCTTATTGGCAAACATATTTAATTCTTAATGTGGAACTCCTGCATCTAAAATGAGTTGGTATTAAGAATCATTTTTCTTAATTTTATCCAGATTTTCTACCTGTCAAAGGCATATGCTCTCATTGAGTTCCGACTAGGTGATGAATTTTGTGTTAACTGGCAAACATAAAATGCTTTTTTTTTAAAGTGAGCTTGTTTTTAACTGCAAACATTTATTTGCAGCGTAACTCTACTTGATCTTGCACAAACTTACCAGAAATATTTCTTCAGACAGATTAAAATATGAGAAGCTTTAGCACAAACAACCTTTTTTAATATAAATGATTAAAAAGAGTGGTTTACTGTTTGACTCTGACAGATTTATTGATTATATGGTCATTGGAATGAATTTGCAATAAGGAATAGTTTTGGTCTGACAATTATATTTTATAATTTCCTGCTGGATATCTAGCAACATATTGGTGATTGATACTTGAAAATTGGACTTTTGGTGCAATCCAGAGAACATTGGCTAACTATAATGCTTAGGGAAGAGACATTCTGAGTAAAGTGAAGGAGAAAAAAGGGAACAGTTAGAAAAGAGGAAAAAATAATGGTAACTAAAGATATTTGCCCTTGTCATTCAGACTAGAAATATTGTTTTCTGAAAAGCCATTTTGAATGTTGATATGCAGAAGTATTTGTGGGGAGGGATAAGTAACCTTAAGGGTAGGAAAGGAATGTGTACATGACCTTTACTTCTAAATATTGACTTTTTCTCTTCTCCCCTCCTCCCCACTTCTATGGATGGATAAAGCCTGATATAAATTTAGTTGTTAGACGCACAGACATTGGGGTCTCCTTATTTGGCTATGTTTGAAATTTATTTTAATGGTCTCTGTCCCTATCTAAATGCTAATACATCCTGTGGATTTTATGGACAGTGCATCACAATGTGACACCTGTTTGTGTGCAATTTACTTAATGGAAGTCTAATTTCAGCAGGAAAGCTTTTGTTGCAACATACTTTCAACCATATTCAATCAAATATCCCTTTGGAGTCTATAGAACAGATAGGTTTCCATGGTACCTAATACTTACTTAGCTGACACACAGCTGTGGAATACCAGCACTGGCTTTCTGTTCTGTTTCCTTGCTTGTGTAGACATTGAACCTATGATGGTATAATGGTACTGGCTACTACTGATACTTCTCTGATGGAGGGTATCTAAAAAACAAAAAAAACGAACTATCAGTGCAGGCATACCAAATCCAGATACACGTTATGGCAAATACTTGTAGAATGATGGGGGAGGGGATCGGAGGAAACTTGCATCAACCATTTGAAGCTAGTAATTCTGCTCCCAGAACTAAGATTGTGTATCAGTTTTATGCATTTTGATACGCTTTGCAACTTTTTATTTAGTAATCATTTTGTTGCAGGATACATATGCACAAAGCAGTGAATGCACCACATTGGCAGGTGCCGATGTGCTTTTGTGAGGGTTTTTTTCTGTACTTTTTGAAATGCTTTAGCTATAGAATATCTCTTTGATCAGTGTATTAGTAGGGAATTAATGCTTTGGAAAGGTCCAAGACCAACATCCCTGGATAGTGAATGGTTCTGTTTGGTAAAAGAACAACTATGAGAATATAGGATTTGCCATAGTAGACTGGGGGTGTCTAACAGTAGACAGTACTAGATGTTTCAGAAGGAAGTGCATTGGACAGTTATGAAATAAACTGTCAAGGGGGGAGGGTTCTTCCTAACTCCTGTCCATCAGGGATTGTGTACACTACAGCTGGAAGGGTGTTTCCCAGCATGGGTAGACAGACATGCTAGCTCTGCTCCAACTAGTATGCTGAGTACAGCATTGTGGCCATAGTGATACAAGCGGCGGCTCAGGTGAGCCATCTGGGTACAAACTCCCCCAATGTTATGGGTATGTACTTAAATAGTTAGCTGATGCTGCTGTGACCACGCTGCTATTTTTAGCGCACTAGCTTGAGTGTGTCTGTCTGCTCATGCTGGGAAGTCAGTCCCAGTTTTTGTGTAGATGTACCCATAGTGCTTGAAACCATGAAGCTGAAGGATTTGTCTGTGTTGGGTGATACCATAGTAAAAGGAGGCAGTGCTTGATGGGAGGTAAGAATCTAAGTCCCTGTCAAGTTCTCATGGGAGTCCACAAGGAAGACGGCAGGACAGATGAACCCAGTTCTGTAGTTGCTCGTCTGGTTGATGTATTGTGGATGTATTGTTCCTTGACTTTAGCAAAGCTTTTGACACGGTCTCCCACAGTATTCTTGTCAGCAAGTTAAGGAAGTATGGGCTGGATGAATGCACTACAAGGTGGGTAGAAAGCTGGCTAGATTGTCGGGCTCAACGGGTAGTGATCAATGGCTCCATGTCTAGTTGGCAGCCGGTATCAAGTGGAGTGCCCCAAGGGTCGGTCCTGGGGCCGGTTTTGTTCAATATCTTCATAAATGATCTGGAGGATGGTGTGGATTGCACTCTCAGCAAATTTGCGGATGATACTAAACTGGGAGGAGTGGTAGATACGCTGGAGGGGAGGGATAGGATACAGAAGGACCTAGACAAATTGGAGGATTGGGCCAAAAGAAATCTGATGAGGTTCAATAAGGATAAGTGCAGGGTCCTGCACTTAGGACGGAAGAACCCAATGCACAGCTACAGACTAGGGACCGAATGGCTAGGCAGCAGTTCTGCGGAAAAGGACCTAGGGGTGACAGTGGACGAGAAGCTGGATATGAGTCAGCAGTGTGCCCTTGTTGCCAAGAAGGCCAATGGCATTTTGGGATGTATAAGTAGGGGCATAGCGAGCAGATCGAGGGACGTGATCGTTCCCCTCTATTCAACATTGGTGAGGCCTCATCTGGAGTACTGTGTCCAGTTTTGGGCCCCACACTTCAAGAAGGATGTGGATAAATTGGAGAGAGTCCAGCGAAGGGCAACAAAAATGATTAGGGGTCTGGAACACATGAGTTATGAGGAGAGGCTGAGGGAGCTGGGATTGTTTAGCCTGCAGAAGAGAAGAATGAGGGGGGATTTGATAGCTGTTTTCAACTACCTGAAAGGGGGTTCCAAAGAGGATGGCTCTAGACTGTTCTCAATGGTATCAGATGACAGAACGAGGAGTAATGGTCTCAAGCTGCAGTGGGGGAGGTTTAGATTGGATATTAGGAAAAACTTTTTCACTATGAGGGTGGTGAAACACTGGAATGCGTTACCTAGGGAGGTGGTAGAATCTCCTTCCTTAGAGGTTTTTAAGGTCAGGCTTGACAAAGCCCTGGCTGGGATGATTTAACTGGGAATTGGTCCTGCTTTGAGCAGGGGGTTGGACTAGATGACCTTCTGGGGTCCCTTCCAACCCTTATATTCTATGATTCTATGATTCTATGATGTTGGCAGCTGTTGCTGTGGAGCTTCATGGATTTCAAGGCCAGAAGGGAGAATTATGATCATCTGCTCTAACCTCCTGTATAACACAGGCCATAGAACTGCCTGAATTACTTCCGTTTTGAACTAAAATATGTCTCTAGAAAACAAATCCATTCTTGACTTAAAAGTGGCCAGTGACAGAGAATCGGTAAATTGTTTGTGGTTAACTGTCCTCACTGTTAAAAATGTACACCTTATTTCTAGTCTCAATTTATGTAGCTTCAACTTCCAGCTATTAGATCTTATTAAACCTTTGTCTGCTAGACCAGAGAGCCCAGAAAGACTCTCGGAAAGACTGTTTTGTGGTGACTGTCTTGAAAGAGAATTATTTCTTATAAAACGTTTCCTATGTGAAGGTCATTGGTACTGGTATATGGCACAGTATCCCTTAGGATAAAATTTATCTAGTGTAATAGGATATTTTATTTGTAATTGTTTGTATTTAGTAGCTCATTATGGCCCAAATGCACCAACAGATGGCCAATCCAATTTTAAGCCACTACTCCATGAGATTAGCAAAGGTGGTAAAATACAACATTACATTATGACTACAGCAAAATGTTTGAAATCGCATAAGCAGCAGATAGTTTGAGGAAAGGGTTGACAAGTGACAACCACATCCTGTATGGCTGCATGATTTGTTATGAAGATAGCCGAAGTATGTTAACTGACTGGAAACCAATAAATGTCAATGATGGAAATTCATCTCTGTAGTAACTACCAGCTCTAGTGAAGTAACAACAGGGATGAACTGGGCCGTATGTGTCACAGGATATGTCCAATTCTTTTGTGTAGTTACTTTGCATTTTTGGCTGTCATGGGATGTAACTGTGCTTAAAGAGATCTGCAAAATATCACCCCTATCTCAACAAGTTGAGAATTCGACATATTTGAATGAGATCCTTATTCAACTGCGTTGTTGTTCTTTCAGCAATCAGTCAGCATTACAACAGAGGAGAGGCAGACTCAGCTTACGCAAGTAATGAGATTTATGCAAAACACACAAAACCTTCTGAAGGTAAAATGAAAGTTACAGACAGTATACGATATAGATTTTTGGTTTGAATTTAGATTTAGAAATATAATGGGGGGGGGGGGAAGCAGGCCACCTGCAGCCATTTCCTTTTCTTCCTTCACCCCCCCGCACTCTGAAGACTTTTGCAGGAGTAAGCAGATGCCATATTGTGTGTTCAATGTTATATTTGAAGTCATAAAGCATTTGACATCACATCTGGTTGCTGTGGAAATGATGTGTCACAAGTAGAAAATGAGTACTTCAGTTAGGGAATAAACGATAGAAGGAGATGTGGTGTTGTCTTTTTGAAGGCACATGGTTATGGTAATCAGAAGTGAAGTGTGAGAATCGCAGGTAATGGTTCTATCATGAATTTTGTATATAGTGCCTTTCATCCTAAAAGATCGAAAAGAACAGAATGAATTGCAGATTCTGCCACTGAAAACAGCCTGTCCTGGAATTGAGTATGGCTGATAATTTTAAGTTGTCTGAAGTACAAATTCTTTATAACGTAACTTATAATTTTTCAGAAAAAAGAAACTATTCTATATGTAAACATTGTGTGATAGAAATGAATGATTTGGACTGTTTTGTTCTCCAGTGATCTCCATATGTCTCTGAACCTTTGATTTCAGAAGAATCATTTATACCTAACTCAAGATCAATTTAGAAATCCAAAGTATTTAGTTCATGTAACATGACCATTGATGCCTCCTGAGCATGCAGCGTGTGGCAGCTTTGATAGGGAGATGGGAAATCAGGCAGCATATAGTCATGCATAAACAATTCAAGGGGAATCTAAACCCGCTAATAGAGGCATGCTCTGCTTTAACAGTAAATCTTTGTACAGTCGGCACGCTATCTTGATAAGTGTGTGACCTGCCATAGAATGTCAGTTAACTGCTGTCAAGCAGATTGTTTTGTACTGGAGACGGCAAACTGAATTAAGGTTAGGAAAACAAAAAGATATTCTATTATCTGCTGCCTTTAACTAACAGAAGATTGTAGACATGAAAAAAGGAATATACCACTGTTCGAAGCTTGTACTTAAAATGCACTGGTAACTGAGAGTGTTCTTCAAGTTGGTCAGTTAGTCTTAGGAGACTCCTTGACACACAATGGTTAGCACAGAAAGTCTTCATAACTGCTTGGCAGCAATTCACTCGTTATGATGGCAAAAATAAACAAAATCTGTTTCCTCTTAATGGAATGGCATAAATCAGATTACTGTTTTAAAGCAGTATTCCAATGTATTTTTTTTGAAAATGTTACTATTAAATGTCAACTTCTCAGAATGTAGTGACTTAGCTGACAGAGCAATTGATATACCATGTCAGATCATTTAGTCCAGGAGGATTCTGTGTCTGCCAATGATAGCATCAGGTGCTTCAGAGAAGGCCCAACAAATCCTTTGGTCAAGGATCATGGAAAAACCAGTAGACTTCTTCCTAATCCTCATCAGTTAATGATTGGTTCATGTCTTGGAACATGGGGGCGGGTGTAGTTATATCCCTTCTGATTTTTCTGTCTAGTATAACTGGCTGATCTTTTTAATCATACTAAGCTCTGGCCTCCATCATATCTTGTGGCAATGAGTTCCATTGGCATTGCTTATTTAAGTGTTGCCTTATATAACTTGTTTTTCAATTTCCTAGAATGACCCCTTGTTTTTGTAATACAAGAGAAGTTAAATGTGTTGAATGAGACAAGAATTATTTTGTGTACCTCCTATTATGCTTCCTCACTACACTGAACGGCTGCAGTCTTTTTTCAGTCTCTTCATATGGGAGTTTTTCCTTGTCTCCTTTGCCACCTTTCTTTGGATCTCTTCTGTTTTTGTTCCTTTTTGAGATAGGGTAGACAGAACTGCAGAGAGTATTCCAAATGAAGGTGTACAATCAGCTTCTATAAAACATATTTCCTGTATTCCCCATCCCTATTCCTCATGCATCCCAACACTTGAGCTGTCTCCAATAAAACACCCAAATGTTTCTTCTGAAGAGTTATAGTTAATTCAGAACCCCGCCGTTTGCATTAGTGCAGTCTGTTTTTTTGTTCCACTTTGCCTTGATAGTCCTGATTGACTTTTATGCCTAAATTGTTGGGTCATCCTGAAGTTCTGCAGAGTTTTCTCTAGTCTTCACTAAGCTAAATAATTTTGTGTCATCTGTGTATTTTTCACATTAATGTTCATTCATCCACTTGTCTGGATCAGTAATAAGATACTACTGGTCCCGGAATATATCCTTGTGGTACCCCAGTATTAACCCTTTGTCATAATGAAAGTTGATCACTTATTCCTACTGATTTTCTGTTTTACCCACTTCCTAATTCATGATATTTTTACTTCTCATCTGATGCATACATGGTTCCTTGAGTAACATCTTGTGCGGGATTCTTAACCAAGACTTTTTTGAAAGTCCAAATAAACTATATTTGATCTGCTATTTTGTGAAACATTTAAAGATTTCTAATGGATCATAGGGAAACGTTTTTTCTTTACAGAAACCATGCTATCTTGTCCTAAAAATCGTTTTTCTCAAGGTGTTTTATAATTACTTGGTAACTGTCTTTTCAAACAACGTATCTGCAATGGAACTAAGTTTTATTGGTCTGTAATTCCCACAATATCTCCAAGTACCTTTTGAAAAAAAGATAGGCACTGGAACAATATTTACAACTTTCCAGTCCTCTCTGGCATATTAGGTGATCTGTTTTATTTTTAAAGTTCCTCCACATGTTTGCTGTCTGTTTGCGGACTTCGTTATCCCTTACCAAATTTATTCAACAATCTCCTCTTTGGCATACCAGTCTCCAATAGCACTTTATCTTTCGTAAGATTGAGATAGGTATCTCACCAATATCTCTTACAGTGAAGGTTGATGTAAAGAAATAATTTATCTTTTCTCTAATATCTTTATCTTCCTTAATTCAGTTAATCCAAAGAAACCACTAGTCGCCTTATGCTTAATTTCCTATGTTTTATCTTTTTAGCTTTTTGCTCTTCAAATCTTTTAGCCCTCCTAATACCAGTACTTCCTCCTTGCCATAGTTTTGTGCTCTTTTCTGTTGAATTTGTTAGATTGGATTTTCGTTTTCTGAAGGATATTTGTTTTTGGCTCAAATAACCGCAAGGATTTTCTCTACTTAAGGGTGTTAGTCCAGCATCATGGCCAAATAAGGTTTTGTTTTGTTTTTTGTTTTGTTTTTCCTTTTAAATCCGTATACTTGCCTACCCAAATTCTTCTCCTATAGATCATGTTTACTTGTATACTTCACTGTAAAATAGCTCTAAAACACAAAGTTTAAAAAATAAACCCTGCAATACCATAACTGATTACTGTAAATGTATGTGGGAAAGAGATTATTGGTAGAGGCAGGGGCTTTAATATAGGCTGTCTCAGAATTTGAGTTGAGAAGACCATAAAACAGAATACGCATGGGTTCAAATAATGAGATAAACCGAATAGGGCAGCGGTTTACAGCTGCAGGTCCTGGTGCTCTGAGCGGCACGGTAAGGGGGTGGGGAGCGGGAGGGTTGGATAAGGGGCAGAGGGTTCTGGGGGGCAGTCGGGACAGGGAACAGGGGCAGTTGGATAGGTGTGGGAATCCCGGGGACCTGTCGGGGATGGGGTGTAGATAGGGGTCGGGGCAGTCTGGGGACAGGGAGTAGGGAGGGTTGGATAGGGGGTGGGGTCCAGGTTGGGGTGGGGGGTCCTGGGAGGAGGCAGTCAGAGGACAGGGAGCGGGGTGGGGGGGTTGGATGGGTTGGGGGTTCTGAGGGGAGCAGTCAGGGGGCAGGAAGTGGGAGGGGCGGATGGGGGTGGAGGGCCAGGGTGTTTGGGGAGGTGTGGTGTATTAAATTGCTCCCCATAAGAATGTGATACTTACTGTGTACTACTTACTGCTGCCAGTCCTGGTGCTTAGTAAGTAGCACATTCCTATGGGGAGCAATTTAATACACTACACCCTGGTGGCTCTTGCAACTGTGCTGGTGCTGCGTAGCAGGAGCTCACAGCCCCACCGCCCACAGTACTGCTGGCATGGCAAGCTGAGGCTGTGGGGGAGGGGCAGGGGGCTAGCCTCCCAAGCCGGGAGCTCGAGGGCCGGGCAGGACGGTCCCATGGGCTGGATGTGGCCCACGGGCCATAGTTTGCCCACTTCTGGTTTAGAATCTTCAATGCTCTTTTAAGAAAACACTTTGCACTTTAGTGAAGCCCATTTTAAGCATCAGAAATCAGTTTGATAGCAGAGGAGGTTTTAAAATAGAATGGAATTGTACTGAACACTTTGATGTACTTTTGAAGTGATTGCTTAAGAAAGGTTGCTGTTAGAAGTACTTGGATAAAGTCTCTTGTGTCTATTAAATCTTAACTGTTGGGTATATTAGCTTAGTCCCTGAATTTATTAGCAGAAGTTTTAAATTATTCCACTAACCTAAAAATAGTGCTAAATTTCTATTCTTTGGTAACATCTGAAGAGGTTAATGTCAATAACTTGTACTTGTACATAAAGAATTCCCTGAATGCGTTTTGAAATTTTTGTGTTGGTGGGTTTTTTTTAAGCTTCACAATGAAGATGATCCTCCAGAGTCAACTGTTGAAGAGCCATCCACTTCGACAGAGACTGCACAAAATTCTCAACCAGCAGCTTTATCTGAAGCAGATGTTTCTCCTCCACCTTATTGTAGTATTGCTGTAGAAGCAGCTGCAGCCTCAGGTATTTTCCCTTTATTATATAACAGCTCTAGGTAGTATTACTGTTGGAGAAGTACAAAGATCATGAGTCAGCTACTGATTTGGGGGCGTATGATGCAAACTCCCTCTCCCTCCCCCCCTCTTACTGTTATTTGATTAAGGTGACCCACAGATGTATGTTTCTCTTTTTTGTGTGAGTTTTAACCAAAACCCAGGCAACTTTTTAGAATTGTGCTGACTGCCCAAATTACCAGACTCTGCAAGTAGCAAATTATTAGCTCAAGATAGTCCTTCTTTTTTTTTTTTTTTTTTTTTAAAGTTCTGTGTACTTTAATTCCACAGTCCTTCTTTGGCTCTTATTCAGAATAGTCCGCAGGTGTGTAGGATCAGGGCCACAGTGCATACATTTCCCATGTGACTACCATGAATAAATGTTCACGCATATGAAGTATTTGCAAGAGAAGCACCTCTGCTGGCATCATTTAATCAGCTGCAGAATCCTGTTATATGCTGATGGGAAGCCAAGTACTAGACACTTGTTAATATTGCTTGGTTTTGCAATGTATTAATAATTTGTGCATTTGGTATATAAATGTCATAAAACAAAATTTGTTGTTCACGTTACTTTTTCAAAAGCAATACTTTACATACTAAATTGGCAAAATTCCAAAAGAAAAAATTCCAAGAACAAGCAATTGTCTTGCCTCAGTAGACCAGCTGCAGTTTGCAACAGCGCTCTGCAGTTGATGAGATGTGACATGACCAGGATAGGCCTCAGTTCATTTTTTTTTTTAAACACTAAGAACCTGAAACTCTTCTTTTAGGATGTTTCTTTGCACCCTTCTCTCACCCACTCATATGCAAATTATTGTATCTGATGAATGCTTGCATTTGCTTTTCAGCAGAATGTAATCTTAGTTCCAAAACTCTTCGCCCTTTTGCAGTATCTAGGTCAAACTTTAAATTAACTAGTTTTGAGTTGCAGCAGTAGGCATCTTTAAATTGTGATTCACTCTTTCCTGTTCATTAAAAAATAAAATAAACGAAAAAACTTCTCACAATGTCTGTAAGCACTTATAGGTCAAGTTGCTGTAGAACAAAGAGACTGAAATTTATGACTGGACAGTTTAAATGTCACCAGGCTTGCTGTTACTTTAGTGTGCGTTTTTTAAGATTGCTGTAGTCTATTGTTCTTGTTGATATTTTTCTGGGATACAAAGCATGAATCTCATTTTTTGTTTTTAACAGAAACACCTAATGAATTTTACCCTGTACCACCTCCATATAGTGTAGCTACCTCTCTTCCTACTTATGATGAAGCAGAGAAAGCCAAAGCTGCAGCAATGGCAGCTGCTGCAGCAGAAGCTGCCCAAAGAGTAAGTGAAATATCTCTGTAAAAATCTTTTGGGGAATCTGTAAACGAAGTTGATTTTGATAATGTACAGTACTCTAAAGTAGTGTTTAAAAAGCATTTAGGCCCACACTTCAACCTTTTTTTAATAATCATTGTTATCAAGTGATGTCTTTTGGATGCTAAATAGCTTTTAAAATTTAGTTAGATATTTGCAAGACATTCTGAAGATGTGAAGTGCTATAGAACTGTAGAGCATTTCTTTGAAGTACAGCTGTTTGCTAAACACTTTAAAAAGCCACCTTCTTGGTTAGATTTTGACTCTATAGCTAGTACATATCTGGAGGGAGGGGAGGATGCAGATTCACTGAGTTAACAATTCCAATTCCTGGGATAGTGCTGTGATATTATGAATGATTTCTGTTAGTAGCAAAGAGGTAACTTAAGTCAGAGAAGTATGTTGCTTTTTATTGCTGACAAAAAATAGATAAATTGAAACAAATATTTTTGATCTTTTTAGAGTGTTAAGGGTAATAATGTTGTCCTGGCAACCTTAATTATGGTATTTCCTAACTTTTGAGTGCTTGACTTTTCAACCTTACTGTTTTTTCATGTTGCGTTTTTTGTGTGTAATATTGGTATATGTGTGGTATTCCGCCCTCTCCACCCCCAAGTTTCCCCTCGCTAATTCATTCCTTTTGAAAGTGTAGAGTTTAAATGTATAATGAAAACCGGGAAAGTGCAGTTAGAATCTAAGTGACATTTTAAAAGTCATTTAAGTGAAAACAGAATATTTAAAATAATTAAATGGTTTGTTTGTCTGTAATAACGTTCTCTTAACACTGTTCTTTAGTTCTTTTGTCTTATGTTTGTTTTACATGCTTAGCACGGCCAGTTTAGGGAGTCTAGGAGTCTGTTTGATGAAATATTCCTCAGTCCACCAGAGGTATGGTACAGTTCTATTTAGTTGAGACATTGCTGTGAATTTTCCTGCTGGTAAATAATGATGGGTTCCCTTACCCACTTCAGAATTATCTTATTGAAATCTCAGAATTGTTGCATCCGTTAAATATGTGCCATTTTAGAATCTATATTTGAATTCTGCTAATATGTACGTCAACCCTTTTTTCAGGGGATTATAAATCCAATTAAAAAAAAAATTATTCTGAAAACCATTTGCGTTTGTATAGAACTGCACCAGCTAACTGTCAAACGGGTTCCTTAAGAATCAGCTTTCTTAATTGACTAACCAATTTTTCTTAGGGTAGGCCCTACATTCCAGGTTTCAGTTACAAGAAAGTTATAAACCCCTGAAAAACATTCATAATGGAGCTGATGGTAGAACCTTATTCATAGTGGCAATAAGAGGTGCCACTAAAATTGAAGATGCTGGAAAGTTAGTGCCTTTCTGTGTAGAGGATATGCTATTGTATTTGTGATACTTATCCAGATAGTTAATGTATTTTTACCTCCTTAAATGTTGCAATCCTTTAGTTCTGGTCTTAGAAACCAAATCAGTTGTATAGGCACAAGTATATCATAAGATCTGTAACAGTTACAAAAAATGTGTGTGAATCTTTCGGGCTGCATAATCCACTATATGAACTGTACAATAAAAGGGGTTAAGTGAATTAAAGCTTTTGTTTAGAGCGCAAAAGACATCAGGAGTTTACAGTTGGGAAGCAGAGACATGTCTTTAATTTTTATAGAATGTTGTTGAATCAACATTATGCGTTCATAGCAGTTTCCACGTATTTTAAAAAAAAAATTTATGAAAAGATATTAAGCAATAATTGGGATTCAGTTCAGGTCACCACATGACCAAAAAATTAAATTCAGAGACCCCATTAAAAACACCAGTAAGAGGCTGGGGGTATTTACTTTTGCAGAAAGACTGAAACATCTAAAACAAAACTATACAAACCAAGATTTTCTGTCCAGGGCAAACCTGTATTAGTGGAGGCATGACTACTGGCCTGAAAGGTGTCTTCAATCTGTCATTTCTATGATTATAAAACCTTATGCTGCCAGATGGCTTGTATAATCTGGGGTTACTTAAATTTTACATGCAGCTGTAACATCTTGCTCTAAGATTAGTATAAAAGTGCCCAATTGCATTATTTTCAAGGTTATCAGAATTTAATATGAAAATGTTATGACACTGTTAGTACAGCCTGCTCTTGAATTGCACTATTCATACAATAAGAGCCCTCAAATTTTACAAAATAGATGAAAATTATTAGAATTATGTCAATTTCTGCACTCGGATTCCCCAGGAAAGATCTTGATTTCAGTGTGTAGCTTTTCATTCATATGTGGGACCTAGACATGTAAAGATAGCAGAAATCTGAGTTTATAATGCTTTCATGGATCTACACAGAACTTTATCATTTAATTTTATTGGGATAAGAGGGAAGGTCCTCTCATGGATTGGTAACTGGTTAAAAGACAGGAAACAAAGGGTAGGAATAAATGGTCAGTTTTCAGAATGGAGAGAGTCAAATAGTAGTGTCCCACAGGGGTCTGTACTGGGACCAGTCCTATTCAACAGAATCATAAATGACCTGGAAAAAGGGGTAAACAGTGAAGTGGCAAAATTAGCAGATAATGCAAAACTACTCAAAATAATGAAGTCCCCGGCAGACTGCGAAGAGCTACAAAAGGATCTCTCAAAACTAGGTGACTGGGAAACAAAATGGCAGATAAAACTCATTGTTTATAAATGAAAAGTAATTCACATTGGAAAACAGAATCCCAACTATACATATAAAATGGTGGGTCTAAATTAGCTGTTATCACTCAAGAAAGATATCTTGGAGTCATTGTGAATAGTTCTCTGAAAACATCCACTCAGTGTGCAGGGCAGTCAAAGCTAACGGAATGTTGGGCATCATTAAGAAAGGGATAGATATTAAGATAGAAAATATCATATTGCCTTTATATAAATCCATGGTACATCCACATCTTGACTACTGCATGCAGATGTGGTTGCCTGATCTCAAAGATATATTGTAATTGGAAAAGTTTCAGAAAAGAGCAACCAAAATGATTAGGGGTATGGATTGGCTTGCGTATGAGGAGAGAGTAATGAAACTGGGACTTTTCAGCTTGGAAAAGAGATGGCTAAGGGGGATATGATGGAGGTCTACAAAATCATGACTGGTGTGAAGAAAGTAAAGAATGAAATGTTACTTACTCCTTCTCATAACACAAGAACTAGGGGTCACCAAATGAAATTAATAGGCAGCAGGTTTAAAACAAATAAAAGGAAGTATTTCTTCACACAACGCACAGTCAACCTGTAAAACTTTTTGCCAAAGGATGTTGTGAAGGCCAAAACTATAACAGGGTTCAAAAAAGAACTAGATAACTTTATGAATGATAGGTCCATCAATGGCTATTAGCCAGGATGGTCAGGGATGGTGTTCCTAGCCTGTTTGCCAGAAGCTGGGAATCAGCGACAAGGAATAGATCACCTCTGATTACCTGTTCCGTTCATTCCCTCTGGGGCATCTGACATTGGCCATTGTTGGAAGACAGGATACTGGGCTAGATGGATCTTTGGTCTGACCCGGTATGGCTGTTCTTATGTTTGTATATAAAAATATTAGCAAATGCTTTTTGCTGTTCAAAAAGTTGTAATCCATCTGTGACGGGTTGGATCACAGAAACCCCCTTGAGAATTGCTATCTGATGTGCTGGGACTGCCTCTGAGCCCGTTTTCCCTAGCAGCTTGGGACTTGAGAACCCTGCCTGGTTCAACCCAGACACGCTAGCCTGCTACAAACAGAGACCCAGGTCTCCCACAAGTTGCAGGCTAAACTGAAAACAGCTTAAGAAGTGTTCCTGTCTCCAACACTCACGTACCCAGCTCCCAAAGTGTCCAAACCCCCAATAAATCAGTTTTTTACCCTGTATAAAGTTTATACAGGGTAAACTCATAAATTGTTTGCCCTGTATAACAGTGATATAGAGAGAGATGCACAGCTGTTGGTGTCCGTGCTCTCCCCCTCCCCGCCCCCCTCAGGTATTTAATACATACTCTAGGTTAATTAATAAGTAAAATGTGATTTTTATTAAATACAAAAAGTAGGATTTAAGTGGTTCCAAGTAATAACAGACAGAACAAAGTGAATTACCAAGCAAAATAAAATAAAACCCACAAATCTAAACTTAGTACAGTAGAAAATGACTACAGATGAACATCTCTGAGGGTGAGATTTCCAAGAAGTTTCTTTTACTGACTAGCCTCCTTCTAGTCTGGGTCCAGCAATCACTCACATCCCTGTGGTTACTGTCCTTTGTTCCAGTTTCTTCCAGGTAGCCTCTCCACCCCCAAAAGATCTACTGAGCCGGCTGAAGACAAAATGGAGGGGTCTCCCAGGGGCTTAAATAGACTTTCTCTTGTGGATGGAGACCCCTTCCTCTCTCCTATCCAGAATTCAGCTCCAAGATGGAGTTTTGGAGTCACCTGGGCAAGTCACATGTCTATGCATGACTGAGTTCCTCACTAGCCAGGCCACATTCCTGGGAAAGTTTAGATGTGGATTGGCGTCTCCAAGTTCATTCTTAGCTTAAGTGTTTCTTGATTGGGCACTTACTGAGAATAGTCTTTTCTCAGGAAACTGACCAACTGCTTCACTGAGGCTACTTAAAATTAAACAAGTACGTAGCCAGTATTCATAACTTCAAGTACAAAAATAATGCATGCATACAAATAGGATGAATATATTCAGTAGTTCATAACCTTTACAGAGATGTTGTGTAGCATAAAACACATTCCAGTTATGTCGTATATAAATTCATAAGAATATTCCCATAAAGCGTTATGGGGTGCAGCATCGCAACATCTATGTAGATACACCATGGTGCACTATGGTTAAATAGTGAAGAATGTGATTCTCTTTCCACCTTTTCAAAAAATAAATAACTAAAGCAACATTAAAAGAAAAGGAATACCTGTGGCACCTTAGAGACTAACCAATTTATTTGAGCATAAGCTTTCGTGAACTACAGCTCACTTCATCGGATGCATGCAGTGGAAAATACAGTGGGGAGATTTTATATACACAGACAACATGAAACAATGGGTGTTGCCATGCACACTATAAGGAGAGTGATCAGGTAAGGTGAGCTATTACCAGCAGGAGAGGGAAAAAAACTTTTTGTAGTGATGATCAAGGTTGGCCATTTCCAGCAGTTGACAAGAACATGTGAGGAATAGTGCGGGGTCGGGGGAATAAACACAGGGAAATAGTTTTGCTTTGTGTAATGACACATCCACTCCCAGTCTTTATTCAAGCCTAATTTAATGGTGTCCAGTTTGCAAATTAATTCCAATTCAGCAGTCTCTTGTTGGAGTCTGTTTTATGAAGTTTTTTTGTTGAAGAATTGCCATGTTTAGTTCTGTAATCAAGTGACCAGAGAGATTGAAACGTTCTCCAACTGGTTTTATAATTCTTGACGTCTGATTTGGGTAACATTTTTGATTGAAATAAAGAAGAATTCTATTTTGTGCCATCAAAGACTGAGAAAGTAAACTTTGGCACATGAATTTGAGAAATGTGCACATTGTATGAAAACTTTTATGTAATGTAACTTCAATAACATGACCTTTTTTTTTTTTTTTTTAAAGCTATATCAGCAGTTGGGCTAAACGTTCAACGCTATTTAGGTGCCGAAAGATGCACACAGGCCCCTAGGGCTTGTGCCTAAATGGTGAGCCTATTTGGCATTTACAGAGATGCTACATTCTGCCTAAGTTCTCTAGGGTGCCTAATTTTCCAAGCTATGTTTTCAAAGCAGAGTGATTTTTCTGCGCTGAGGGGTTTTTTTTACCATGAATTTTAAAAAATGGCTTTGGGCACTTAGTGGCCATTAGGAGGCCATTGAAGTGAGCTGTAGCTCACGAAAGCTCATACTCAAATAAATTGGTTAGTCTCTAAGGTGCCACAAGTACTCCTTTTCTTTTTAGTGGCCATTGTGCACGTTGAAGACTACCATCTTTTGCAAATGTGTCCCAGTTGTCTGTCCTTCCTTTTTGTAATAAAACTTACCGGGTAAAAATGAGTGCACCCAACCCTCTGTTAACAGGAGATGCATTAGTCAGATGTCTCATCTATAGATCACATAGTGTTAATTTAAAACACTTTAAAAAAAAAAAAAGTGTGTTTTAGATATCATGGAAGATACAAAGCAAAGGTTAGAACAGCATCCGGGAAGTATTTTTGATCACAGAATATCAGGGTTGGAAGGGACCTCAAGAGGTCATCTAGTCTAATCCCCTGCTCAAAGCAGCACCAATTCCCAACTAAATTATCCCAGCCGGGGCTTTGTCAAGCCTGATCTTAAAAACTTCAAAGGAAGGAGATCATACCCTCTGAAATATTACTTCATTTGTAAAATTGATAAGTTTATATTTTGCTGTAGATAAGAACAGTAAATAAGCAAATTAATTTTGCTAGTTTGGTATTATATGTCTGTTTTCCCCTTAATGTAGATGAACTAAAATAATATTAGGGCTGATGGGTGGGGGGAGAGACTCTTTAAGAAGCTACAGGAATTTATATTTTCTCTCCTGACCATTATGCTATTTTCAGCTAGAGGAAGCTTGTCTTGCCACTGTTAAACAACTGCATCATTATTTTTAGCTTTGCATCACTTTTTATTCACTTAGCCTTAAGTACAAATCTTAAATACTCATTTTCAAACCTTCTATTAAAATTCCTCTAACCAGATAATACAGATTTCACGTGTATGGACAAGAATTTTATTGTGTGAAAGTTGCTGTTTCTAGTTTAGCATTTGAGATTGGACCTGGAATAAGATCAAATAACAGTGAAAGGGTCAGTGTTTGGGTGCCCAAAGTTACATGAAGTGACTTTAAAATATGTATATTTTCTGTACTTTAAAGAGGACTGTTGTGTACTGTTCTTTTATTCAGTTACAACTTTGCAGTTTTGCCATGTAAATTAATAATTATCAAATTAAATGAATATTTTTTTCTTACTGTATCATTACACCTACAGTTCTTCATGTAGGCAAGACAAATGCCAAACTGTGTATACGTTTTATCTCTTATCAAAATCAAAGATTGAGAAGAGACATTTAAATCATTAAAACAAAGCAAGGATTAGGGATTTCAGTGTTTTAACATGAATTTTGTGGATCATTATCTTGTAGGTGTTTCCTTGTATGTGACTTGACTTCTTAAAGAAGTTAGAAAATAAACTGACAGGTTTCAGAGTAGCAGCTGTGTTAGTCTATATCCGCAAAAAGAAAGTTTAGCTTCTTAAGAAACTAGGTACTTCACTGTGTGCTATATTAAACTGATTTTTCTTTTTCCAGGTACTTAAATTTAGAAGCTTAAAAGATGGAACTTACCTTAGTTTAGTCTACTTTGGTAGTGTAAAATGTTCTTATGTCAGTTGTCCCCCTTCTATCCCAACAACTGAAAACTATATGAAGATTTCACTTTAAAAAGATGAATTAAAATAGTTTCTTGCTTCTTGTATATAAATAAATATCTTAATACGTATTATGTCTTAGATTTTTGTAAGTCACACAACCTGTACAAATACAAACTTATTGCTAGTGCTGGGATCTGAGGCTTCCAATAGACCCTTAAAATCCAGTCTTCTGCGGTATTTAAATGTGATTGAACTGTCGTTACATAAAAACTGTTTGGAAATAAGGAGCTAAAATGGTGGTCACAGCTATGGGAATTATTTAAAAATGTCTCTACAGTAGACATCCTTGTGTATGGTTTATAAAGTATGTTGTGATGAAAGATGACATTTTACTTAAACAAAAAACAACACCAACAAACAAAACCAGAAACCTCAGTGAATTTTGTGGTTCTGAAAATGTGGTGATCCCTTGAACTTTAGTAAGTCAAGGATTTCTAATATGGTAAATATTAGTCAACATACAGAATGTGAATTCCGTGGCAACTTAGTGATATCCTCTCAAGTTGGAAGAAAATAATTACGTGATATATGAGGATAAATGGCACAACAGTGAAAATGGATATTAGCTATTATGTCTACATATTTGGTTGGCAAGTACACTGAAATTATTTTCTTCTGTTTACAGTGAGTACATGAATAGGGTATGTTAAAATACATTGGGCTAAATTCATCCATAGTATAACTTAACTACTGAAGACAGTGGAATTACATTGAGGATGGATTTTTTTTCTGCTCGGTGTTGAACATAATTTTTTGTCTCAAATAATGGTCTGTAGCTCAATTTCAATTGAATGTTATTAATTCCTATGTACATGTTCCAGTTTCTTTCTCCAAAGTTCATTTGAGTTTCACTGATAACTGGGCTTTATCATAGTAAAGCAATAAACTTCATTTTTCTGTAGCTTAATAGATTTAATAGTATTTTGTTCTTTTGAGGTTCATTTATGTAGATCTGTCAACAAATGGCAGTCTGACGTTTTTAAAAACACAATTAACAGTTTAAATCTACAAGACAATGCATAAGCCTAAAGTTAACTTTCCTTCACTAAAACTTCTCCAACCTATAAATCCAGGAAGAAGAATATCCACCTCGGGATGACTTCAGTGATGCAGATCAACTTAGAGTTGGCAATGATGGCATCTTCATGTTGGCATTTTTCAGTGAGTTATTTTTACATCCCAGATCTTTGAGATGTATAATTTAGATTTCCATTGGAACAGCAGACTATGAAAGATAGCCTCAGTAAACTGCATGAACACTCTGTAACAAATGGAATCTTTTTACTTATATACAGATGTAAAACAGTACCTGTTACTCAGAAAAAGCAAGTATGTTGTGTTTTTTTCAGTCACTTCTGAGAATGGTGTTAAAACTAACTTACACCTATCACAGATAGGTCTGAACAAATCCTCAGTTGATAACCTCAGGAATATCAAGATTATATGGTGGACCGCATCATAAAGTTCTAACAGCTGCAGAACTGCTAACTTGAATTAAAAAATCTGGATGGCAGAAATGTGATTAATTACTCTTCTTAAAAGATCTGGAGGATGGCGTGGATTGCACCCTCAGCAAGTTTGCAGATGACACTAAACTGGGAGGAGAGGTAGATATGCTGGAGGGCAGGGATAGGATACAGAGGGCCCGAGACAAATTAGAGGATTGGGCCAAAAGAAATCTGATGAGATTCAACAAGGAGAAGTGCAGAGTCCTGCGCTTAGGACGGAAGAATCCCATGCACCGCTAAAGACTAGGGACCGAATGGCTTGGCAGCAGTTCTGCAGAGAAGGACCTAGGGGTTACAGTGGACGAGAAGCTGGATATGAGTCAACGGCGTTCCCTTGTTGCCAAAAAGGCCAATGGGATTTTGGGATGTATAAGTAGGGGCATTGCCAGCAGATCAAGGGACGTGATTGTTCCCCTCTATTCGACATTGGTGAGGCCTCATCTGGAGTACTGTGTCCAATTTTGGGCCCCACACTACAAGAAGGATGTAGAAAAATTGGAAAACATCCAGTGGAGGGCAACAAAAATGATTAGGGGACTGGAACACATGATTTATGAGGAGAGGCTGAGGGAACTGGGATTGTTTAGTCTGCGGAAGAGGAGAATGAGGGGGGATTTGATAGCTGCTTTCAACTACCTGACGGGGTTCCAAAGAGGATGGATCGAGACTGTTGTCAGTGGTAGCAGATGACAGAAAGAGGAGTGATGGTCTCAAGTTGCAGTGGGGGAGGTTTAGGTTGGATATTAGGAAAAACTTTTTCACTAGGAGGGTGGTGAAACAATGGAATGCGTTACCTAGGGAGGTGGTGGAATCTCCTTTCTTAGAAGTTTTTAAGGTCAGGCTTGACAAAGCCCTGGCTGGGATGATTTAGTTGGGGATTGGCCCTGCTTTGAGCAGGGGGTTGGACTAGATGACCTCCTGAGGTCCCTTCAAACCCTGATATTCTATGATTCTATCTGAAAATCTACCTCTAATACACTTATATGGGCGACCTACTGGATTAAATAGCTATGGAGGGATTTGTTCAGACCTACATAGTATTAATTTTTTTCAGGTTGAACTAACTTAGGTATGTAAAATATAACTTTTTAAATTACAATAAATCAGTTTAATAACGTAAAGCACTCTGCCTCCAGATAATCTTTGGATTGCCACCAACACTGCCTTAGCACTTACATTCACTGAAACTGTGTGCTGTGCACCATTTCTTTTCTATCAGATATACAGTAAAAGCTTTATCTGGCATGTTATGGGAATGGGGGTACTGGTAAGTGGAAAAATTCCAGTTAACTAGGAGGGAGGGAGGTTGGATGTGGGAGGGGGAACGGGAGCGGGTGCAGGGTGTTGGATCCGGGTGGTGCTTACCTTGGGCAGCTCCCCGTAAGCAGCAACCTGTCCCTGCTGCTCCTAGGTCAGAGGCATGGCTAGGCGGCTCTGTGACTGCTTCTGCCTGCAGGCACCACCCCCAAACTCCCACTGGCTGTGGTTCCCAGCCAATGGGAGCTGCGGAGCCAGCGCTTGGGTTTAAACACCAACCCGAAGAAGGAAATGATTTAAAGTTCTGCAAGTGGTTATGTTAAAGAGGAATGGGGTGAAATAACGAAAGGGGTACTTCAGCATGGAAATAAAAACCAAACACTTTCCAGAAGGTGAGATCTGTAGGAGCTTGGAGGATTGTCCCCATTCCTTGGGGTACAGTAACTCCTCACTTAACATTGTCCTGGTTAATGTCGTTTTGTTGTTACATTGGTGATCTATTAGGGAACAAGCTCATTTAAAGTTGCACAATGCTGCCTGCTTTGTCCACTGCTTGCAGAATTCTCTGGAAGAGCAGCCCCTCCTGGTGGGGATTAGATCCAGAGGGGGCCAGCAGCCCCTCCCCCCATCTGCTCCCCTAAATTCCCTGTAAGGTATGTGGCTCGGCAGCTGCCCAGCAGCAGTTCAGCTGTCCCTCTTTCCGCTGTGCTGCTCCTGCCCTGCCCTCTGCCTTGGAGCTGTTTCCGGGAGCTTCCTGCTTGCTGGGGGAGGGGTGCTGATATCAGGATGTCCCCCCTGCTCCTGCCCCCCCACTCCATACCCCCTCTCCACAAACCAGAGGAGGGGGGCAGAGCTCAGGGACAGAAAGGAGGGAGCTTGCTAGAAGCTGTTGCTGCCTGTCTGAACTGGCTGATCTGCTTAAAAGAGCAACTTACTTGAAGTGGTGTCAGCATACTTAAAGGAGCAATGCACATCTTTCTTTCTCTCTCTCATATGCATGCGCCCCCCAGCACTTTGGAAAGTCAGCACCTGTGCAGACTTGCAGGTGCTGTCAGAAGGAGGGAGTGGATAGCATGGGCTTATCATCATGTTCAGTTTTTGCAGGGAAGTGTTTGCAGCTACTGCCCTGCATCTGTTGTGTTTCCTCCTTCCTGCCTCAGTCCATGCTGCCTTGTAGACTGTGAGGCTACATTAACAGCAGCATATTAACCCTTGAGGGCTCAGCCGAGTGCTAGTTCATCATTTAGCAGTAAAGCATTCCCTGGGAAATAGTCCACATTCTTACTTCACCACCTCAACTAAGCATTACAATCATTCATTGCTGTGTACAGTATTAAACTGTTCGTTTAAAACGTATACTGTATATGTATATAATGTCTTTTTGTCTGGTGAAAAAAATTTCCCTGGAACTAACCCCCCTATTTAAATTAATTCTTATGGGGAAATTGGATTCACTGAACATGATTTCGCATAAAGTCGCATTTTTCAGGAACATAACTATGTTAAGTGAGGAGTTACTGTATGTAAAACTAGATAATTCTGACTTATTCCCTACAGTACATTTTCTTGTGGCTTGCCCTAACAGGGACATAATTCATTTTCTGTTGCTATGTCTACACTGCACATCGCTGGCAGTGGTATATAGGGTATGTTTTGGTACACACCACAGTGAAAAGTAGGTAGTGTCCACACTGCACTGTGGAGCTACATGCTTCTGTGAAAGGCCCTGGCAAGGGGTGGTAGCAAGGAAAGGCTTGGCAGTGGGGAGCTGTTTGAGCAGAGGGGAAACTACACTGCTAAAAATAGTGTTGATGTGGAGACGCTGCTTGAGCAAGTAGGGTTCAGATGTGTCCTTACCTGCCCTGCTATTGGTAGGGTTTGTGTAGTGCATGTGCTCTTCACGCTGCTGAAAGGAGTGTGCGGTGTAGACAGACCTTATGACTGACTGTAGTTTCCAGCATTAAGTTGTGATTTTTGAAACCAAAGATCCCCTAAAACCAGACTTTCTGCTTTTAGTTTTAGTTGTGTAAAACAGCAAAGGGATCATTCATTATCTACGCTTGTTTTAGCCCAACTGAGCGAGAACCAAACATAAGCTTTTACTGTCAAGCTAGTGTTCAGAATCAGTTTATGATCTGTAGCTACCATCTAGTGGTAAAATTCTAAATTGCATTGAAAGTCATGTTTTCAAGCCATCTAGTGGCCATGTCTGTATTTTACAAATGGGGCGGGGGGGGGGAACCTCAGTGCTAGTACCAAAAAAAAGTCATTTTATCTAGAGTTCTATATGAGCAAACATGTTTCCTCGTAGAAATATCAATACAGCATGCGCTGGAAATGATACATTGTAGGAGTAATACAGTGATTCATAAAAATTACAGCAGAATGAAAAGTAAATACATCTTTCATAGAAGCTGCTGACATTAGCTGCCTTTGCTTCATGTAAAAAATGAGACATGGGCATTCAGTAGCATCTTATTTTAATGCTGTAAAATATTTGTTTCAGAAGTGTTATAGCTGAACAGAAAATCTGGACATATTTTAAATGATTAAAAGTAAAAAATATTGAACATAACTTTTTTTTCTTCATCCAAAATATATAGCAAAATTGTATGCATCTCTAGCTGAGCCCTTTTTAGGATCACATCTTAATGTAGACTGGTTATAATAATTTTAGGAGTTGATATCAAGAGTAGCAGATTCTCTTCATATCCCATTCGAAGGATCACAGGAGACTCAGCACAAATTGCTGGGTGTTTTTCACACGCCATCTTCAGCACAAGTAGCCCTTCTAGTAAACCAAGTTTTGTTAGATACTGCCAAGACAATTTGGTAGACAGCCCCTCCCTCCCCCCCAATACTGACTCCCTGAACAGCTGAGAGAACAGACACAGTACTACATTAGTCTGAACCACTAGCCATATCTTCCCATTCTGTCCCAAATTCCTTAGCTGTGGATTCAGCAAATGACTACAACAGGCAACACCATTCGCAAGCTGTCCCAAATGATAAAGATCAAAAGTGCAAAGACTTCGGTTGCAAAAGTTAGTTGTCTGCCACCGTGCAATACAAAATTGCTAATTGCCAGGCGATTTTGACAAAACATAACCACATTAACTTTTCAAAATTTAATTCCTTTATTGAACACCACCTGCAAGAGCAGAGGGAACATCTTCAGGCTCTCATCACAGTGGGACAGCTTCTTGCAAGGACATCTTTGTGAGCTTCTCTTGATTCTGCGACACAGCAGCCTACTCTGACTTCACAGCTGTAGTTCTGTGTCCAGTGTTGTGGCTGCAGTCTTCAAGATTTCCACATGAAGTCTAAAACACTGTAGAGGACCTCCCTTGTGGTGGTCATAACTTACTCGAGTCCACAGTGATTCCCTGCATTTGT